CTGTACGTACAACACCTTCAGAAAGGACTCGGTATGAACCCATCGTTTCTTCTGCTGCCCCAACACATGAAAGTTTTGATAGTTTTTACTTTCCAAAAAGAAAATGGGCACGAGAATCTGAACTTATAAGCCTAGTTGAGAAGAACTGTAAAGTGTTCGTTTCAGTTGATTCGTATGTACTTCAAGCAGGACGCTTGTCCTATCCAGGCAACGGCTGAAATTCAGTTCTGTGCCGCTCAAGGACGAGATCATCGTGCATGTTGTGAAAGAAACGGTGTTACAACAACTCTGGCTGGAGCTAAGGTATTGTTCAATGCCCTTTATGAAAGAGCCAAAAGGTCAACAATCACATAAAGAGACGCTAGGCTAAGGGGGAGCGTAGAATTTAAAGACTATGACTCTCTTAATGGAGAACTAATGGTTCCTGCCCAAACTTAAGAGGTCAGGATCTCAGTTCACGTAGAAGTCTACCTGAGTTAAGTGTGGGGGGAGGGTGATGGAATTATTTTCTACGTGAAAATGGTTCTGCGCAACCGTTGAAGGAACACTCCTTCGAATGCTCCCTATTTCCCCGTCCCTCCCTTATTCTACGTCCTTCTCGGAGGGACGCGTTTCTGAGAGAATGCACCGTGTATGTGTCTCAAGTTAAAGGTCTTGAATCGTAGATAAATGGGTCTCCAAGTTGGCCGGTTGTACAGCTTGCGAGGGGGTGGGAAGCTGAGATATAGCAGCAGCATTCAAATTTCCCGGAAGGGGGGGGGGCACTTTTAGGAATTTCTTCTAGAAATTAACTGGCAGAAGTGGTGTGCACTGAAGGCGCTTCCGAGCAAAGCCGGGCGCACCATTGTGCACTTCCTATTGGCACGCTCTTGTTTCGACTTGCCGCATTGGAAAGGCGCACCGAACCCATAAAAAAGCGCCATGGTAAGCCGACCCCGCCCACACAACCATCGTGGAATGTCTCCAAGCTAGCGACCAATATCGCAAAACCCTGCTTCTAGCCACCACCACTTACAGTCCTCATCATTACGTACTGTCGGGGCGGTTCAGTGCGGCTGCGTTTGGCGCGGGCCAAAGTCGTTCTGCACCAGTTGTTGAAGCGGGCAAGTGACATTACTGTATTATATCCTTCGTATTACTCGTTTTCTACCACTTTTTGTCGCATACGCGTTTCAACAAAAAGGCTGAGAACGGCTTCAACAGTGTGCACAACGACTTAAGAGCGTCGT